GATTGAGTCTTGCTCTGTTGCCCAGGCTGGAGTACAGTGGTGTGATCGTAGCTCACTGCAGCCTCGAACTCCTGGGCTCGAGAAATTTTCCCACCTCAGCTTCCTGAGTAGCTGAGATCACAGGTGGGTGCCACCACGCCTGGCTAATTAAAAAAAAAAATAGAGACAAGGGTTTCACTGTGTTGCACAGGTTGGTCTCAAACTCCTGGCCTCCAGGGATTCTCCTGCCTCAATCTCCCAAAGTGCTGGACTACAGGCATGAGCCACTGTGGCCGGCTATGTTTGCTATTATTATTATTATTATTTAGATGAAACTTAGGAGGCCTTAAATATTCCATGCTCTGACATTTGCCTGTGCTGTTAAGTGTTTTAACGTTTCTCTAATTCTTAGGTCGTTGATTGATTTAACTATGACTTCTAAAATCTCATTTTCTCTTTCTCTCCCCAACCCTGAACACATACACACACGTATACAGTCATGAATTTTCACTGTGCACCATAATATGTATTAATTGCTCTTACATTCCACAGTTACGTTAGTTACAGAGGCCTCACATGGAGATCCTACTCAGATTTTCTATGTGCCAGGTACCATGGAGGGTGTTAGGGCTATAAAGAAAAATGACACACCCGGTCTTCCAAGAACTGATAGTCTAACAGTAAGTGGATATGCTGATAAATAATTGTCAAACATTGTGATGAGTGCTTGTAGAGTCACAAAGGTGCGATGGAGCCCCAGAAGAGGGCACAACTGAAAAAATGAGGGAGGTGTTGAGGGAAGGAGATCCTGGAAGAGATTCCAGAAGTCTGAATGGGAGTTTAGTGAGCAAAGAAAACAGGAAAGGGCATTGAAGGTAGAGGGACTAGCGTGAATAAAGAAGTGAAGGTGTAAAAGCTTATAGTGTATATGTAGGGCTCTGTAAATCATTGCTTCTATCAGTCAGAGATATCAAAAGATAAGAAATACCAGGAGGTTAGGCTGAAAAGCTGCCTGGCAGCCACATCATGAGAGGCCTTGTGAATGGTGTCAAGATCCTGGTCATGGTCTCTAATACAGTTTAGATGTGCATCCCCACCCGAATCTCCAACTGAAATATGATCCCCAGTGTTGGAGTTGGGGCCTGGTGGGAGGTGACTGAATCATGAGGGTGGATTTCTTATGAATGGTTTAGTACCATTTGCTTGGTGCTGTTCTCGTGATAATGAGTGACTTCTGGTGACGTCTAACTGTTTAGAAGTGTGGCACCTTGCCCTTGCTCTTTCCTGCTCTTGCTCTGGCCATGTGCTGTGCCTGCTCCCTTTTCACCTTCCACCATGATTGTAAGTTTCCTGAGGCCTTTCCAGAAGCTAAGCAGATGCCAATATCTTGTTTCCTGTGTAGCTTGCAGGATCATGAGCCAATTAAACTTTTTTTTAAAAATAAATTGCCCAGTCCGAGGTATTTATAGCAATGCAAGAATAGTGTAGTAAAATCCCACAGTGTAGACAATGAAGGTCCCTCAGAGGATTTTTAATAAGAAACATTGTATTATTCTGTTCTCATGATGCTAAGAAAAACATACTTGAGATGGGGTCATTTATAAAGGAAAGAGATTTAATTGACTCAGTTCAGCAGGGCTGGTGAAGGCTTCAGGAAACTTACAATCATGGTGGAAGGGAAAGCAAACGAGTCCTTCTTCACGTGATGGCAGCAAGGAGAACTGCTAAGCAAAAGAGGGAAAAGCCACTTATAAAACCATCAGATCTCATGAGAACTCACTCACTATCACAAGAATCACAGCATGGGAGTAACTGCCCACATGATTCAATTACCTTCCACCAGGTCCCTCCCATGACACATGGGGATTATGAGAACTACAATTCAAGATGAAATTTGGGTGGGGTTACAGCCAAACCATATCAAACATGCACGGCCAGATTTGCATATGAGAAGAACCACACTGCCCACAGAGTGGAGATGGACTTGGAAAGGGGTGCATGGTGTGGGTGGAGTGAGAACTATTGCCAGTAGCTGCTTGTTATTCTCCTAGCAGTGACTTTGTTGTTTCTTCTTTCTCTACCCTGCCTGTGGACCCATGGTCAAAAGGTACAGTAACCAGCAGTTCAGCTCACGTGGCCCAGCAGGTGGGCATGTGACCAAAATACCTAGGGTCCTCCTACCTCCTGGTTTTAAAATGGCCTTGGCAGATGTAGCCCATGGGGCAGGTCGCACAGGAATCTAATACTAAATAGATTAACGACATCCAATCAATGAAGGAGAAATCTAGATGAGAAGTTACTAAATTCTTGATCTCAAATCTGGTGATGATAGGTTAAATATATTTCAAACAAATTAGGCAAGAGTTTAGCTTTAACTTAGAAGATGCAGTTCAGCTACATGGGCCCCATTTTTAGGACATGAGGTGAGCATTCCCTTACTGTTAATTGTTTTAAAAAGGGCTTTTAGCTGGGTATGATGGCTTACACCTGTAATTCCAGCACTTTGAGAGGCCAAGGTGGGAGGATTGCTTGAGGCCAGGAGTTCGAGTCCAGCCTGGGCAGCATAATGAGAGCCCCACCCCTGACCACAATCTCTACAATAAATAAATAAATAAGAACTTTATCCTGCCTGTTGGGAAAGTAAAGACTGTCAAGTTGAAGGGCTTTAGTTCCTAGTGTCTGTGTCTAAATTTCTGGTTAATGAGAAAAACCAATCAGTGTTTCCCACTGATTGAAGCTCCAATTTTCTGGGAATTATAAAACTCTTTCCTTATCAGGTGTTTTCCAAGCTAGGAAGATTTTAGAGTTAACCACAAGGAGGATGAAGTAAACAAAACCATTTTTTTAACGTTTTCGTGTTGAATTTAAAACAACTCCTGCATGTCTGGTAATTAAAGTGTTTGTAATGTTTGTAAAGTGTTTTTAAGTTCAAGGGGTTCTGGCATAGTCGACCTTGTAATTAGCCATATGATTCTAGTTTAAATGTCTAATTTAGTGGCTGATTTTAGAAGAAAGCGTTAGAGTAGAAAGTTCCAGGAGAAGTTGGCTAAGTTTGTAAACAGTATTGAAAGATTTAAGAGAACTTAAGGATCATGATATTTAAAAGTTTAATTTATTAGATTTATAAGAATTGCTTAGGTCCTTGGAAAAGTTTTGCTTGTTAGTCAAGTATTTGAAGTACTTAAAAAGAAAATCATGTATATTACATTTATAAATGCGGTTTAGACTGTTTAACTGAACTTAATTGCCAAAATTGTAAAGTACCCCTTAAAAATTTATTAGATTTATAGATAGAATAATAAGATTTTAGTTTGAACTTAAAAGCTGGAAGAAAAAACTCCATTACATTAGTAGTATATTGAATATTTATCTTAGAAACCAAGTTGCTGTTCACAGTCTTTTATGTGTACAAAGCTTGTCCTCAAGGACCTCAGAAAATGCCTGCTGATTATTTTTTCTGGGATTTTTTGCACTGAGGTGAGGTGAGAGGTAACTTTTTCTCTTTGGACTTGAGCTGAGAGGCTGGTGACCTGTGGGCTGCAGTGAGAAGCAGCCTCTCTGCACTGAGAGAATGAAGCTGACAGGCAAGGCATTTCTGAAGTGTTGTCAATTCCTGGTTCCAATCAACCCTAGGGCCAGCTCCAGCGCTGCCTTTACCGTGAGTGGATTATGTAAACCAAAGCATTTTTTAAAATTTTCTTTTGCTAGTTCGAGTTGAGTCTCTAGGGAGGAGCCCATATTAATAGCCCCTGTGGGTAGGATTAGACTGTATAATTTGAAAAGCAAAACAAAATAATGAGATTTATTATTTTGGTCCTCACGTAGCTTCTTCCTGAGAGGCATTTTCCTGCTATCTTCTTGTCTTTTGGAAAGTCCTAGCTGTTTGGCACTGCCCCCTCCAGGAGCCCTTTCCCTCATCAAGGCCGGGCAGCTGGGCAGATCTGGAATGAACCAGATGGCAGGGTAAGGCCACTTCCCTTCTCCTCTCCCCTTCCCCTTTGTCCTTAAGTCTGAAGATATGGGAGCAGGAGGAGGAACAGTGATGTGAGAAAACCTCACATCATTGTGTATTTTTTTTTCTTTCTTTCTTTTTATGGTTTTACTTTAGGTTTTGGGGTACCTGTGCAGGTCATGCAAGGTTGTTGCACAGGTACGTACATAACCAGGTGGTTTGCTGCCTCTATTCTCCTTTCATCTATATCCGGCATTTCTCCCCATGTTATCCCTCCCCAACCTCCCCACTCCCTGCTCTCCCTCCCCTAGTCCCCCTGCAACTGCCCCCAGTATGTGATGCTCCTCTCCCTGAGTCCATGTGTTCTCATTGTTCAACACCTGCCTATGAGTGAGAACATGTGGTGTTTTGTTGTCTGTTCTTGTGTCAGTTTGCTGAGAATGATGGTTTCCAGATTCATCCAAGTCCCTACAAAAGACATGAATTCATCATATTTTATGGCTGCATAGTATTCCATGGTGTATATGTGCCACATTTTCTTTGTCCAGTCTATCATCAATGGACATTTGGGTTGGTTCCAGGTCTTTGCTCTTGTACACAATGCTGCAATGAACATACACATGCATGTGTCTTTATAATAGAGTGATTTATAGTACTTTGGGTATATACTCAGTAACAGGATTGCTGGGTCAAATGGAATTTCTATTTCTAGGTCCTTGAGGAATTGCCACACTGTCTTCCACAATGGTTGAACTAGTTTACACTCCCACGAACTGTTTAAAAGTGTTCCTATTTCTCCACATCCTCTCCAGCATCCGTTGTCTCCATACTTTTTAATGATCGCCATTCTAACTGGTGTGAGATGATACCTCAATGTGGTTTTGATTTGCATTTCTCTAATGACCAGTGATGATGAGCATTTTTTTCATATGTTTGTTGGCCTCAGATATGTCTTCTTTTGAGAAGTGTCTGTTCATGTCCTTCACCCACTTTTGAATGGGTTTTTTTTTTTTTTTTTTTTTTGTATATCTGTTTTGGTTCTTTGTAGATTCTGGATATTAGCCCTTTGAAAAACATGGAACACTTCATGAATTTGCATGTCATCCTTGCGCAGGGGCCATACTAATCTTCTCTATATCCAATTTTAGTGTATGTGCTGCCAAAGCAAGCACTGTGTATTTTTTTTCTCTGTTAACTATGTGACTAGTCTCCAGGTTAGAAAAAAGCCAAACTTAGTACAGAGAAAGTTGCGGATCTGTCATTAGGACTTTGAAATGGTGCAAGCTCAACAGGGTTCCACTGGATGGGGCCTATATCCTGACTTCAACAGTTAGAGGACTGTGGTGCTGTTAATTGAAATCAAGAATTTAAATCAGTGGAGCAAATTTATGGGGAAAAAGAGGAGTTCAGTTTAGTACAAGAAGAGTTTGAGGTACTGTGAGTTATCCCGTTGGGAATACCCTTTAGGCCATAGGACACAGGGTTCTAAAATTTAGGAAGCAGACTGGGATTAGAGAAGCAGATTTTAGAATGGTGGCTATTGAGATGGCTATTAAAGCCTGATCACCTGTGTTTTTCCTCCGTCTCCTGGTTGAAGGTCTTTTTGCTAGGCACTAGCTGGGGTATTGTACCAGTTAGGAATGTGTTTGGCTCAAGCCGCAGCAAATCCATCATACAGTGGTTCGAATGCATAGATACTTTTCATTATTAACTAATAAATTCCTTGGAAGCAGGCTGCTTTGGTTTTGGCTCCATGACTCAATGATGCCAGGTCCAAGCTTCTTGCCATCGGCTTGGCATTTCCCTCACGGTTTCTAGATGGTTGCTGTGGTCTCCAGGCGCAGAATCTGCATTCAAGACAGGGTCAAAAGGCAGATGCACGTGATATCATTTGTTTTAAATAAGAAAGCCCTCTTCCTCAGCCCAGCAGACTCCTGCTGAAGTTCCATTGCTTCGTGTCACATGGCTACCTTTAGCTTCAAGGAAAGCTAGGACAGGAAGCAAATAAAAAGGGAGTTCAGAGTAATGGTGTAGAGTCAGCCTATAAATTATGATTCCTCCCACTAGGAGTTTACAGTGTCATGATTATAATACCCTGACCCAGGAACCTAGAGTCCAGACCTGGTCCATGATGGATGCCTTCATTAGTGATCCTATGATTTATTTTTTTCCTTCCTTGAAACTTTCTCTATCTTCTGGAATCAAGCAGTCCCTTTTCAAAGTCTGCAGAAGAAAAAAATTATTTCAGCACCCAAAAGTGTAGAGGAAAAAAAAGCATAGAGAAAAAAAAAAGAAAGAAAGAAAAGAAAGAAAAGGGAAAAAAAAGGTTACTATTTGACAATCCTGGACTTTCTCAAATGCACAAAGTGTGTGGATAGTCCTGACAGTCTCCAAACCATCCTTCTAAAATTTAATCTGATAGAGAATCTGCGTAAACAGCGGAGAACCTCTGGCATTAGACAGATTCTGGCAAATACTGTTCATAAAAGTCTTTGGGGAAATTGCTCCAGGGAATCTGTAAGTCGAGAGGACACCTGGCAGTGAGAGCTTGTTTGGGCAAAGGGAGGATTGAGGTTGGAAAACCAACTGCACAGTTTTGAATTTGCCAGAAGCTTCAGACTCTGTCTTGTCCTACTTGAACCACTGAGATATGCCTCCTAAAACAACAGTATTGCAGCAATTAAGTGTCTTATCATGGCCAAAAAAAAGAGTAAAAGACAAAAAGAAAAAACAAAACGAAAAACAAACAAACAAAAAACTCCGCAAGAAAAGAAACAAACTCTTCTGTGGTTTCTTTGCTCAGAGTTGCTATTTTTAACTTAACGGGTCAATGCAACACACCAAAGTGTAAAAGTTAAATCTATGTTTATCTTTAAGGAGCACATAAAATTGGAACCTCAGTTAGAAGAGCTTTGGCTTTATGTTCAAACCTCTCCATTGTTTTGAAAGGTTCAGTGGGGGCCTTGCCTTAAATCTGTGCTCATAGAAGATAGTTGATTCCACCAAGTTCTGAACTAGAAGCTGAGTGCTAACCCTATAACCTACTGCTTATCGTACACTGTAGAATAAAAAAAACTGCTGTCACTAGATGTTAATTTTACAACTTACTACTTGACTTCCAAAATGATTTTTCTTCTTTGTTTTGCATAACGCAAACATGTTGTTCATTTCCTGGTGGGAAGGTCACATGCATCTTCAGTTTTAAAGACATCTCCCTTTAAGCAGCAATGAATGTTCTCCCCAGAATTTGCTTCCTATATCAGACATTTAGAAATCAAATATTTTTCCACTGATTTTTTATTATGCATTTAACAATGCTTTGTTTTGATTTCTGACTGATATTCCATTGGCCAAGGCTCCTAAATGCTCTAAGCATAAGATACCCTCCGCCTACAACTTCTGTGTCACATCGTTAATATTTCATAGGATCTGAACATGCTCTAGGAGCTTATTAACCTATATAATGAGATGGAGAATTTTATTCACTGAAATTCCAAGGCCTGTTCCCTATGAGATTAATAGCAGTCACAGACTACCCCCGGGGCCCTGTGTGAAGAGGAGGGGCACGAGTTGGGAGGGGAATACCTGAGTGGAGTGGTTGTGCGCAAAAGAAGAAGAGGCAAGGGGCATCATGGTGTCAGGAAAAGGAGAGAAAGACAGACACAGAGAAATACACACAGAGAGAAACATACAAAAAGAGAATGGGTGGGACAGAGTAGGAAGCACAGCTGCTGCAGGGTCTCCTGGCAGAGAAGCTATTCGAAGGAATTTTAGGATGCTCTGCTCTGTAATGTGCTGCCTATAGTTAAAATTGTGCACATTTGTCTTACTTTGTTTGGTATTGCTTTAAAGAAATACCTAAGGCTGGGTTCTTCCTTTTTTTGTATGTGTCTTAAAAAAAAAAAGTTTATTTGGTTTGTGATTCTGTTGGCTGGAATAGTGGGCAAAAGCCCAGCAGTGAAAGCCTCAGTTTGCTGAGCTATCATGGCTAGAGAGGAAGCAAGAGAGAAACGGGGGAACGCCGGGTTCTTTCCAATAACCAGCTCTCACGAGAACTAATGGACTGAGAAATTATTACAGCAAGCACAGCGCTAAGCCACTCATGAAGACTCCAACCCCCATGACCCAAACGCCTCCCATTAGATCTCACCTCCCACTATGGGGACAAAATGTGAGGCTTGAGGGAGATAAACATCCAAAGTATAGCAACACTCTTTCAAAAAAACTGAATATAAAGATTTCCAAAATACAATACAATGTTATTAACTGTAGTCCACATGCTGTATATCAGAACTCAGACTTACTCACTGTATGCAACTCTAACTTTGTACTCTTTGATATCCGCATTTCTCCCCCTTCCCACCATCAGTAACCACCATTCTCTTCTTTCTAGGTACTCACCTTGTTTTTCCTTTTGGTACTTCAAATGTAAGTAAGATTATGCAATATTTTTCTTTCCGTGTTTAGCTACTTGAAGTTTGCTAAGAAAATGGATTTTGTGTGCTCTTACCATAAGAAAATGTTAAAAATTTAAAAAAATGTAAAATGCAATGGATACTATCCCCATAATATACATAGTTTGTCAAACTAGAAAGAAAAATAGACTAATTACTTTGATCTGATCATTTTACACGTATCACTGTTTCCCATAAATATGTATAATTATGTGTTAATTAAAAATTTAATATTTTCAATAGAAAAATGAGGAATAACTATTCTAATAATCATAAAAATTATTAGCTTCAGTGAAGAGACAATGAGATGAGATCAGGAAGAAAACATGGGGGTTTCACAGTTACTAATAATGTTCTAATTCTTAAGATAAGATACGTAGGTTTATTAAAAATAAATAAATAGGGTAGGCATAGTGGCTCTCACATGTAATCTCAGCTCTTTGGGAGGGCAAGGCTGGTGGATTGCTTGAGCTCAGGAGTTTGAGACCAACCTGGGTTACATGGCAAGACCGTGTCTCTACTAAAAATTATTATTAAAAACTCAGTGATTAATGGTAGCATGCACCCGTAGTCCCAGATACCCTGGAGGCTGAGGTGAGAGGATTTCTTGAGACTGAGATATTAAGCCTGCAGTGGGCTGTGATCAAGCCACTGCGCTCCAGCCTGGGTGACAGAGTGAGACCCTGTCTCAAAAAATAAAAAATAAAAAAATGAATAAATAAATGAATACAATGTCTTTAAAAAAAAAGGATTTACACAAATTTACTTAGCCATTGAAGTTGGATGTATGTTTTGAGAGACACATCAGTAGGCAGGACTGACCTCAAGGCAGCCAAGATATATTTGGGTTACACTTATAATATAAGCCTCTTTGCAATTCAACAATAGGTTTCATAATTTCCACTGTAAATAGCACGTTACACAGTGAAACATCCTAACATTCCTAAGGATGCATCCTCTGCTGAAAGACTCTACCATAGCCATGCTTCCCACTCTGTCCTGCCCATTCGCTCTTTCTTTGTGTTTTATCTCCATTTCTCTCTGTATGTATTTCTCTCTGTGTGTCTGTCTCTCTGTTTCTCTTTCTCATCCCACCATATCATTTGCTTTTGCTTCTTTCCCACACAAACACTCCTTTCTGCCTGCCCTCCAGGTGCTGATAAACTTGTTTCTTTAAAGTAGGCCGTTTCCCAGTGAATCGTGATGTGTCCTGGACAGTACACGTACAGTGGAAAGAGTATTACGCATGGAACTGGAAGGCCTGGTTTCCAATCCCTGCTGTGCCATTCACTAACTCCTCACCCCAACTTTCTTACCTATAAATGAGGCTTCAGCACAAGATTGTGAGAATCAAATGAAATAATGTCTGTAAAATCTCCTTCCACAGTGTCTGGCACATAATGATTTTAATGGATCTGGCATCTGGATCAGGGGAGAATACCTAAATTACACCGTCAGACTATTTTTACCTTGATATGCCCATATGGGGTAGAAGTAAAGAGCCATTTCTATTACTAATATAATTTTCTAATCAAGAGCTACCTCTGGGGTCAACAATAAAAAATCCAAATTAGTATCAACAGACCCATTATTTTCCCTTTTAAAAAAATACAAAACTAGTTAAGTGCTGCTGAATTTCATACCAACAGGAAAGTTAGGGGGAAAACTAAGGGATAAAATCCTTGTAATTTCGGCTCCACACACACCTTCAGCAGGTC